CAGCTGCAGGCCCATTCCAGCAGCGCCTCGCGCACAGACCCTAATGCCAAGCACCAGCGCCCAAGCTTAGGCCAACACAGCAAGTGTCGCGCGCAGACCCCGACCCGCAAGACAGTTGCTGCCATCGGACTTAGTTCTACATTGTAATAAACTAAGTCCTTTTCATTGTAATCATTGGCTAGTTTACATCATTTTCAGTGAGTGTGCTTTTACAGCTTTATTAGGACTAGTCATGTAATGTTGGTTTATTTTTTTAAGCATTATTAGGGGGATCAAGCAATCAAACATTTTCAGCAATCAATTTTCTGTACTGGTGTCTCTCCCCCTCGACACCGCATTTTTTGTAATCAGCATTTCATTCATCAATAAAATCATCATCATTCAAAACCCAATTCTCTCTCAGCTTCCGCAATTGCTCGTGACATTGGTTTTCCCGCACGGCACTGACAATCTAGTCTAGCGTGCGGAGGGGACCTCATTGGCGGACAACAACCGCACTGACATCGGTTGCTTAGCCTTACGTTGCCCTTCCAAAGAACATCAGGAAGGCGTTGCGTAACAGTATGTAGGTGCGTAACTTTAAGTAGCTTCAGCATTGGCTACAAAATAGGAGAGAGATAGAATATAGAATAACGATGTACGAATAAGAACCAACCATAGAACCCTGTTCTATAAGTGGAATGCATTAGTTGTTTGCTCTCAGGTTGGGCAGTCAGGTTGGAGAAGGGCAATGACTCATTCTTAGTTAGAACGGGATTCCGACTCAGCAGCCTTTGAGTTAAATTTTGAGAAGAATTGCTCTTTGGAGAGCTTCGTCTCTGGTAAACTTACCAAGGGCTAAAGTCATAGTAATCCTCCTATTCAACTACTTCGACCATTCTGAGCACCTCATATCATTTTTGGGGCATCAGAAGATTCGATCATAAAATTGCATGACTAAAAATCGTAAGCTGTTTGGTTTTAGAATTTCAAAGTCTAATTTCCCTATAAATGTAGGTGTTACTAGCTCAGCTCAAGAGTTTTGAGTGGTATAGACTTTCTCGGATGATTATATTTTTCCACTTTGCTACTAAACTATATAATAGCAATTTTTTTTGATAACTGTGGTGTCCGGGCCAGCTTACGACACCTTGACTAATTCTACGGGATACCTGCTAACTCCTACCAGCAACATGTACCTGGTCACTCTATCCACCAAGGCTTCGACTTATGGGAAGAAATTACGTCGTGTTTTTTGTCTCTGCTGGGATTAGAACCTGAGACCTCATGGTTATAATTGCAAAATTATGCTGATGAACATTAATGTTTATAGTCCTTATGACATGTTAGTGATAATCAGTTTACTTAGGAAATCAATATCCGGATGCTGCCTTTTTCTTTTAGTTTTTTCAAACTTTCCTACATATACTAGTCGCACTTGCATATTACAGTTTTATACGTTAGTTTTTTTTTTTTCCGATTTGTTTTAGAGAATGTTATGACAACAGAAGTGCTTTTATATTTGAACGTGTTATTACAATTACACTTTTAATGTAAAGGTGCTTTTACATGGCTTTCAGAATGGCCATCTTGGTGGCTTGAGATATTATTATGAGGGCCCATTCGCTTCTTTCTCTCTTTATTTCCCCTTTTTATTTCTTTTGGGTTTTCGTTAATAGGAGTTTAGTGCACAGTAAAAGGAAGTAACACTAACACTTTGCCATAAAGCATGTCGCATGTTTTGCCAGCAAATTGGAGCAAAATGCTCTATTAAGATTAAACATTGACAGATTCGATGGTGAAATAAAGAAAAAACAACCATAGTTTGATTAAACCATCGGTGCAGCAAATATCGGAATGTGAAAGAAAGAGCCCAAGTTGAAGAATGTCCATGTTTCCCGAGAGGATTAAGTAGACAAGCAACACAGAAGAGAAGCTGCAAACAGTATCTTTATTTCTAATGCGCAAAGGAGTGGCTGCAATTATGCAGGAGATCTCCGAATTCACCACACCAAAGCCCCGATTTAGTTAACCTTTCTCAAGTAAAATTTAGAGTCCATCCTCCATATCGAACACTCATTCCTATCTGTATATAGAAAGATATCAAAACTTTAGTTAGAAAGACCGCTAAACCTAAAGCCGTGGCACTAAATACAACACAGGAATTTCCAAAAAACTTTGGTTTCCTATGTAATAAACTATGAAATCACTTGGCATCACCATTGTCTCACTATATTATTTGTAACTTTTGACATGGTTTTGTAATGGGAGAGTTCATCATGTACATGCTACCTTTATCTTCAGTTTTTTATGTTTTCATAATTACCTCAAGTTTTTACCTGAACTAACGGTTTTCCTTGTTTGGGTTTCTTTTAGTGCTCCTTCTGTATTTGATAGTTATACATCTTTTTATTCTTTTATTTATATACTTTTTGCTCTTTTTTTTTTGTACAATTTGGATGGCTGCTCTGTTTTCATGCAAAGTAATTCCGCATACGATCTTAGGGTAGCACCGACTTTGTTTCATAATTGACAATTCTCTTTCTAAATAAGTTTTCTGGTAAGTTCCTTTTTTTTTTGAGAATGATCTTTCTGGTAAGTTTCTTTTCCTAAATAAGTTGATTGTTCATGTCCTTTCAACTTCTTTAATGAAGCACATGGTAGATTGGAAAAGCGGACACCATTTTGTATCCATTCTGTTCGAATTAATCATGTGGTTTGCTCACTGAACTAGCGTCCTTACTCTCCCTATAACTTCCTTCTTGTTGTCACAGTTGCTCTGTTATTTTGCATTTGTTTCTTTTAAGACCCTTTTCCCCTCCAATATGGAAATTAGTGGACCTAGTGGTATTAGTTTACTATATATCACTTACAACCTACATCTTTTTTAGTTTTACTATATATCAATTTGATGGATTACCCGTCATATATTCATTCAAATCTTCATGTATTTGCTTTTAATATGAACTTTGCAGGCATATGGTGTAGAGTTTCCACCTCGAGAGGAAAATAGTGTACCTTTATTTACACCACCACAAACCCAGCCAATAGTCCACATGCCTTCAGCTTATGAGGAGGCTGCAGTTGAGGCCTCTCTTGAATCAGATCCTTCTGGACTCAGGTATTGCATAACTTGTTCTTTTCCCTTTAGCATGGCTTCCTGCTCAAAATTTTTAGATTTTTATTTACGGACATCTCACTTATTTTAAGGACACAATTAAGTTTTATATGGATGTTGTTAATATGGAAACATCTCCGCTTTCAGTAAGTGCTCCACTGTTGTTTATGGACACCTATGTTTTAAAGGTCAATAAGTGCTCCTTTAGTAGCCTCAAGTTAACTATCTAGAAATGAAAATCTGAGGCAGTACTTTTTGGTAGTTCAGCATTCATTGGTACCTTGTTCAAGTGTAAGATGAAGTTTTTGATTAAAAAATGCATTGTTTTTTGCTGTTACATTAAGTTGACGAGCTTGCAGTCTGTCCCATTCATACATGTATTCAAACTGGAAGAATGTAGTGAACCATAAATCTCAGGTGAAATAGAGCAACTTTTATCAAAACTCAGTTTCGATATTGCCATTCATTTGGGAAACGTTTTATGATTGGTATAAATACTCCGAATTTTGGCGGGGGTGGTACTATATGAGGAAAGCCCTGAATTCAGCTATACTGTACTGCATCTTTCTTTTGAATGAGTTATCATTGGCATCTAGGCTGCTTGTGACCTCTGGAGCTATATCCTTTTTTCATGGAGTATGTACTCTTAGTGTTGTGGATTTTTTATCTGGCTTTCAAACTTTATTGCAACTTTCTCCAATGCTTTCTGTCCCTTGTCTATGCTGTTTAATGAGGCATAATGTACAAAAGAAGAAAAGCCCTGGGAAGTCCTCATGTTGCATCCTCCTTTTTCAATGAACACAAACCTTTTTTTTAAGCTTCCCAACCACTTTTACCTTATCAAAAAAAAAAAAAAAA